GACCTGAAAAATCAGATGGTAAACATCGCCTTTCTAGAGCTTTTGGAAACCGGAAGAACAGGTAGGAACAAAAGAATGGCACCTAACAGACTGTGATACTCTGCCAAGCACTTCCCTTCAGCTGCAATGCAGCGTTTAGCCCACAAAAATACACTTAATAATGGGAATGATTAAGGACTAGAGTAACTCTGCTTACAAGAAGAAAGGGTGTATATCTAAATCTGTGTATGCTGGAGCAACTCGTCAGAGCTATGTAGTGCAGATGCTGGTTTTTAGCCACAGCAACCATTGGAAAACTAGGGGTGATTTCTTGCCAGAGAAAACTGGGATTATATCAAAGCAGTTCAGTTCCTCACAACAAAACTCTATGTTTAGCTTCTAAGACCAAAATTGCAACATCACAACTATTTTCGTAAGAGTTAAATGAAAACAGAAATACAGGGGGGAAGAAAAAGCCTTTGGAGTGTTAACTCTCCACGGCAGAAGGAAGCCAGCAGGGGCATTGAGCTAGGCACACTCATCCCCTTCTCCCTGCTGAAAGGGACACAAAAAGAACTCTGGCTAAGCATTTATTTTTCTGCTAATGTGAAAGTTTTCTTTTAAAGAGGAAGCAGATTGAACAGAGCACGAGAAAAGAATTTGACTTTGGCTTATTTCCAAAGTTTTTTTTCTTTTTCCTGATGATTCACTGTTATCACTCGTATTCACATTATAACTAGTCTCGAAAAGAAATACCCAAAAACGAAACCAACCCCCCTACACCCAACAACAAAAACCCACACCACAAAAGCACTGGGAAATAGGATCTTTCCTACTGCTTAATTCTGCTAATAAGGTATATAAGAAGAGAAGCACATAAGATGACCAGGAGAGCACTTATGCTTGTACATATTTGAGTAACTGAGCAACTGCCCATATGGGAGAATAATGTCAACACAGCTAGGCCTCCAGACCTGGCATTTTAGAGTATGTCTACAGATGGTGAATCTTCAAGGTACTAAACAAAATGGTTGACACTGATTTGGCTTGTATTTTTACTTTAGTAATATAAAAATAAAATAGAAAAACCTACCAGCATCTCTGACTTATGAAATCTTTAAAGGTAAACTTCATTACAGTCTTTCTTGTATGGTTGCTTTGTTTTTAAACAGGAGCTTGCTGGGATGTTCAGTGGGAAGCGTACTCAGAAAGCATGAACAATATTAATTTTTGTATTGCTGGGAGCCCTCACACCCAGACTACATAACGCTTCACAGACATACCACTTATACGCGGCCATTCTAGTTAAAAGAACGTAAAGCAAGGCCAAAACAATGGGTGCTGACAGCATTGCTTTGTTGCTGTGTAGGTGATCAAAACAAAAACAAAAAGAGGATGCTTACCCTTCGCTTCTGTTCCTTGCATCTCTTCACGCAGCCTAGGACACCTAGGGCGCTACTTCACTCTCCCTGCCTGCAATGATATTAACGTACAGACAATCATACAAAGCTAAGTTGAGCCCAAACACAAAGCTCTGATTTTAGTAACGTTTGGTTTCCATTTTCAAGAGTAGGTGCAAGCATGAGCAGACGACCTCCCTGCAGATGTACTCCAGGGCAGAGATTGTACGCGTAACGTTCCACCCAGCAGGATCTACAGTTCAACTCGTTTTAAGGTGTCCTAGTTTTAAATGATTTGCAACCAGAGAAATGCTGTTAACACACCACTAGTAAAAGGTGGACGGATGCAATGCCTTCCTACCCTGCGCCCACCCTGCCACGACTTCTGGTTTGTTTCTTTCATCTAAGAGAACCGCCGGTCATCCTCGCCACCAGGGCTCACGGTTAGTTCTAGCCGGAAGCATACCGAAGAGCAGCCAGCAGATCTTGTTCAAGGTGGCTGTACCTCTATCCTCTAGATATGGTTTTGTACAAAAATCAACATCCACAGCTACCGCTAAATATTAGTCATAACAGGATTCCCATCCTCCCCTCAGCTCCCAGTTTCAGGCATCCTACCTCTGGCATCAAAATATAACACTTTTGCGCTCATATATACAAATTACCCTCCCCTTTGCCCCATCCACCCCCCAAGTTTTTATTTTGACCCCATCTGCCAGTCCAAGCTTAGATTATTTGGAAACAGGGTGAGAACTAAGGGTGACGCTCTCTTCTCTCTTACCGTTTGAAGTGGACCCGACCCGCTCATGTGTTTCTATGGCACAGCCCAGCAATACCTGCGCATTGAAGTTTAGAAGCCCATAGACTAGCCAGCCTATACTCGCTAAGAGAAAGCCATGTCTTTTTACTCATTCTTTTTAGTCACAAGGCTGAAAATATGAAAAAACAGCAGGCAGGCTTTCCAAAATCCCTGCACTAGCTTATGCCATTAGCCATGCAAGAGCTGTACTAGCAAAAAGCTAAGAGAACAGCCTGGTTTATGCCAGCAGAGGTCAGTGGGTGACTCGCTGCCAAATCTGCGAGCTGCAGAGAACTATGCCTTCTCGCTAAGGTATAATAGTCAGCTCGATTCCCACATCCCCACATCCTTACTATATTGAAACCCATTCTTCTGCCAGACTAACGTTTTGCCTTTTTCGATCCCTTTAGCAGTAGCAGTTGCTCAGCTAGGCTGTTCTACGTTTCCACCTCCTTGCTTCCCCCCTCCCCCTTTTTTTTTTTTATAAAAGGTTTTACAGCCAAAAAAAGGTATAAAAGCCTATGAAGGCAGAAGGGATTGTTTCTCAAGCTAGTGCCTATTTTTTAAATTTCCATTGCACCGCTCTACACTAACGTAACTGGTTAAGAGGCTGAGTGTGTTGCTCTGGAACGTGCAATCCTTGTTACTTTATCAGTCTGTGAAGTAACGCTTTGATGTTATTTTTATCACCTACATATAAAATAAAAGAACACTGCTTAATAGGTAAGGAAGATGACAACAACTCCTTGCCTCAAGGGAACTTATCTAGAGAGACCTAACACTTCAACATAGGACTGTTTATTAAAAGGAAAGGGAGGCAGAAAACAAAGTAAATACATATATATATGTATTTTTATATGCGCATACACACATATATAAATAAAAAGCCTACAAGAGAATTTTCCAATAGTAAGGAGGAACCTGGGCTACTTTTATCAGTAGATACTCTTTTTTTTTTTTTTTTTAAATATTTTAATTCCAGGTATGAACTGCTGAACTGTGCAGTCTTTGGCTGAGTTGACTCTAAAGGAAGCGTTTGGTTGTATTTACGTACTTACCTTAAAAATGTAAGTTACCAGTCACCCTCCCTGCAGGCAGTCACTTCTACTCTGGCTATAGAGGCAGGATTTCCCCCTCACCCTACCAAGAATGCACAAGGAACTCAAGTCCAAGGAATTTAAGAGTGTAATTTGCCTATTGGTCTTTCCAGTGTTCAGTTCTAGCATTTATGAATGACTGCACTGCGAGATTAAAAAGAAACAAACAAAAAAACCCTAGAAATTGTATCAGACCTAGGTAGATCAACTGGCACGAGAGCTGAGAACGGTGAGGGAATATCACAGAATGGTTGAGGTTGGAGGGGATCTCTGGAGATCATCTAGTCCAACCTCCCTGCTCAAGCAGGGTCCTCTAGAGCACATTGCCCAGGATCGCGTCCAGACGGGTTTTGAATATCTCCAGCGAAGGAGACTCCACTACCTCTCTGGGCAACCTGTTCCAAATAAGTTTTTTCTCAGGTTTAGGTGAAACTTCCTGTGGTTCAGTTTATGCTCGTTGTCTCTTGTCCTGTCGCTGGGCACCACGGAGAAGAGTCTGGCCTCATCCTCTCGACACCCTCCCTTCAGATACTTGTACACATGGATGAGATCGCCTGCCTCTCAGTCTTCTCTTCTCCAGGCTAAACAGGCCCCAGATCTCTCAGCCTTTCTTCATAGGAGAGATGCTCCAGCCCCCTAATCCTCTTTGTAGCCCTCCACTGCACGCTCTCCAGTGCCATATCAATCTACACAGTCAATAATAAATTAACAGTAATTCTACCTCGCATATGAGCCTTGTTCTTCTATTCTTCCTTCAAAGGTGAGTTTCTACTTCCATCCATCTTTGTTTTCAAAACTATCTGATAGAGTTGGGATTTTTTTCCTTGTGAAGTATCTTAACGTGCTGCCCCTTTGCTGCAGGGACAAACCCTGAGCGCTATTTGTCAGGTTAACATCAACAGTACTTAAGGAGCTGTGGTACAGAGGCTTTGGGGAAAAAGTTGTACTGAGACAATAAACCTGTAAATCTTAAACCTCAAATACTACATAAATATGAATTTATTTTCACATCACCAGCAACGTAATGAAAGATAAGTATCTCAACAAAGCTTTTAGGCAAGAGTAACGAAATACAGATTTTGTCATTAGAGAATATCTGAGGTCAGCTCAGTCACTCTGCTTGATAGTTTCTCTCTCATTTATTCATCTGAACACAGGATGGCTTCATGGATTCTTCTGCTACTATCTTATTTAACTTCTTTCGAGACTGAGCTACACTGACTTGAAAGAAAGAAGCACAAGTATCAGAATGGTCTCCTGCACCACCAGCCTGCACTCAAGGCCCCCAGGTTAATTCTCTGCTCCAGCACAGAGCTCCCGAGAGAAGCTTAAACTAGAGTTTGTCTTGAGGGGAACGCTCCATACCTCTATTCCTTTGTGGCGTGGGGGTAAGCGCTTGGCAGATGTGCCAAAAGTCTATACATGGCCTGAACTCAGCACCTGCATACTTAACTTTCACAATCCCACGTTATTCATCTTTGGGCATAAGTTACCAAATATTCAATCCAAACAGCATGGCTATCAGAGCAAGTCTGGTCCAGGTACTCAGGCCTCAGGAAAGAGAGATATCCTAGTTCCACTGCTCCCCCCGGTAGGACCAACTCCTTTACTTCGTAGCAGCAGATATACCTGCTTATCTTAAAGGCAGCATGACTCTAAATACAGCTTTTTTTTTTTTAAATAATGGTAAAGAGGCAAAAATTCTAACCAAAAAAATCCCAATTTTATTATCAAAATAAAAACCTTTGTACAGGACTTCATAGCTTTGAGGGAATCTACATACTGCAGTCTCCATTACGTGATACAAGAGTTTGCTTTTAACATAGTCCTTTCATACTCTAGCAGTCAAAAGGCAAGCACAACAATTAGAAGAATCATTTTTAGCTGTCAGCACACGTATTTCTAGAGCTCCTTCTTCATGAAATGTACCTAGAGGGTAAAGCACTCTCTCCACCTTAGATTGCACAGCTATTCACGCTATAAAAATAGAGACAAAGAAGGGACCAGAGATTTTCAGCAGCAGAGATGATTTACGAAACAGAGCTGCATGCCTGACATACAAACATCTTTTGTTTCTAAATTCCTCTCTCCCCCCCCCACTTTCACATATGCTGATGTAGTTCCCAGAAAGGTATAAAATGTAGATTATATATACACATACGGTACAAATACTGCGCAAGTGGAGAGGTCTAAACCCATGTCTTGTTCTAGTGCTCAGTAAATGGAAGTTGATTCTGCCCACTATTCAACTGTACATTATTTATAACAGCATCTTCTAAATCTTACACAAAGCTTATGCAGCAGTTTGCCTTACCAAGCTAAGAGCATTTATACGTTTTGTGGTTCTCCAGACGTAATTTGCATGGCACCTTCTTTTCTACAGCACTGAGTACACAAGACCCATCCACACAGCAAACTAGAATTCTTCAGCTCAGTTTTTGCTGTACTCATGGTTCATTAACATCATGCAAAATATCTTTCTACAATCATGCTGAGCCAGACAAATAGAAATATGGCTGGACCATTGAGGAGACCACAGCACTAACCACATTTGTAAGTGCTCACAAATTGTATGCAACCCATTACATCTCCTTTTTCATTTATCTTTTAAAAGCCTTTAGATGAGGCAATTGTTTTTCCTCCTCTGCTACTACAGCCAGGGTATATATCTCTCAAGAACATTATCTATTCATGCTTATGCTGCTCTATGCAACTGAAAGAATATTTCACTTAAGCTGGACTGTAGCTTAGAGAGTTCTTACTTTTCATTTTGTTCATAGGTAAAAGAAAACTCGGGCTCCTGATCACTAGGATCATTTGTCATTGCCCCTCTTTGTGATTCCAGAGTTCAGCAAGTTAGATTTACCATCTTTAATCCACTTCACAGTTGGCCAAAAGCCACATGAAGCACTGCTCCTGTACTTACCCAAGCCCTGGTCTTGAGGGGCTCCCCTCCCCAGGACCAGGGCTGATTCTGCACAGAAGCAATTCTGCAGTTGGCAGCAAAAGCAGGAAAAAGCAAATTCCCCGAACACAACGTTAATTTAACATAGGGTATACTCTATTTTAGACAGAGTGGTCACTCCACAATGTGTACCAGCACTTTCACATCTGTCACTGTCATCGCTAGGCAATCCTAGTGCTGGTGCTGCGGATGCTTTTGGCAGTGGCCTCCTGCCATCTGACGAAACGTATTACAAAGTCCCCACCCCCAATTCCTTCTGCTGCCCGTTTTAAGTCACTCAGTAGAGAACATCCCTCAAAACGACTCTGCACTTTTGGGTGCTCTATAAAACTGTTTGAATAATACCTAGAGATTATCTGCTGCAGCCTTTAGGACTTCCTTTTTAAACTTAAGGACAAGTAGCTGGTTTAGAGAATTTCTAACTTCCGTCACTTATTTTCAGGAGGGGTCTGTACTGCAGCTAAAGTTGGCGATGACTTAAGCACATACCTTCCCCACTTGACTCAGTGGGAACAGTGCCCTGAATGTTCAGAACAGCTGTATCTTTTTGTGATTAACTTTCAAACATAAATAAAATTGGAGCACCGATCATCATATGAGTAAAACTAATGGCTTAAAGCCATATCTCCTTTCAGGAAAAAAAAAAAAAAAAAAAGTTGTTTCCATGAAAGCAAAGCCTGATACTCTCTGGTTTGCGAAGTTGTTTAAAAGGTAACAATGGCCTGTGGGAAAAGGCCTTCATTAAACAGTTTTGCTAATTATGATTTGCACTGAGATATGTGCTAGTCCTTTATCCTTTAACACAAAAGGTGACAGAAGGAATACACTGGGTTTATAATGTCACTTGATTAAACAATTCACTGTAGGCAATAATGTGATACTGGTAAAAGAGTACATAATTTGAAGGCAATTGCAGCTTCAGTCTTCCATTCCAAGTTCTTGTTTCAGACTGAAAGACAAGTAGAGATATGATTCAGTTAATAGCAAAGCATTGTTCGGAAACTTTAGATAAATTAGTGGAGGCCACGACAATAAACACCAGCCCAAGTTCAGAGCTCAAGTGAATATACCGCTCGTTTTTGGTGAGAACTATCAGAAAAATCTTATCTCAGATTCTAGAAGCAACAAGGACTGATCTTAAGAGATTTACTTGATGTAAATCAGTGAGAGAGGGAGAGAGGTCCTCTCCTAGCTTTCAGCTGCTCGTCCTGCTTACAGAGCTGAGCCATGCCACTGAGATAATGGCACACTTACCTTTTCAAGTAGGCATGGACGTTGTCATAGCCATGGTACTTGGCGAGATAAACCAGGACACCTGTAGCACATCGGCCATCTCGCTGTCTACAGAAGCTACAGTTGCAGATTCCACGACATGGTGGGCACTTCCACATCTAGAGAAAACAAAGTCTTTTTACTCAACTGTAATCTCAGACATTATTCACAACTGCAACCTTCAAGAGAGCCCTGCCTCCTACGTAGTTCTACAGCAAACATCAGCCCTGCAGAAGTTTTCTGAATCAGTACAGAAGAAAATCCAAATTTTTCAGCCTGTGATTTGCCTTCCTTGCAAATAACCACAGGAACCGTTCTACTCCACACAACTCCTGCACCCTTTCGACAGCCCACAACAGCAACGTTTTCTTTGTTCAAGATACAGTTTCTCTCCACAGAGCATTACACACTAATGCAAGGCAAAATAGAGAACGGTATTTTGATGCTCAAATACAAGCATGCTTTGGCGCTTGTAGTTTTCTTCTGTAAATAGAACTATAGAAATAACGACTACACGGAGTTCTATAGAACACAAGGTTCTGTGACTCAGTTTCAACTGACCCAGGAATAGGTCTGTACCACAGCACTGTGAGGAGTTTCTCTGTGAGAGCTCATAACTGTGATAACTATGCTTAACTCAAGCAGAGGGGGGCATTATAAAGCCAATATTCAAAGTTGTCTTACCGGATCCAGCAATGCTGTTCTGACATCTTCCCCATACCTATTGCGGAGGCACGGTCCACAGAACTGGCCCCGTACTCCTATGCAATCAGGGTTACGACAGTTTGTCTTGGTATCTATGGTTTTTTGGCGACATTGATGACAGGTAGATCCCTACAACACAGGAAGAACAGGTCAGGAAACAAGACAATAAAGATGGCTCTTTAGTACTAACTAAAGTACTAAATACTACTAGTACTAACTAAAGTACATGGAATAGACCATGTAACAAGTAACCCCTCTGTTCACTAGCAGCATGTATCCTGAAACTGAAAGCAAATTTGGATCAAGCCCATTTTAACATTGCATCTTCAGTGCTTGCTAAAATACTTTCACAGGCTGGTAGCTCCTACGTATGACTGCAGTTCCAGGGTGGGAGCAAGCTAACTGGCTTGGTAAAGGCCATCCTATCAATTCAGGAAAAGATAACAGATGACAGTTCAAGATCTCAGGCATATTTCTCCCCTCAAAAGGAAAAAAAAAAAAAAAATCACATCCTTCCTCTCAGTGAGGAAGACCCTGTCTTTGAGATCTGACACTAAGCCAGAAGCAGAGAATAACAAAAAATGACTTCACAAAGTCTTCATTTCACAAAGTTGGACTATACTTACCATGGCCCTGTTGTACACTTTGTCTCTTGCAGATGCACAAATATTATTCAGCTCTTCCTGTGTGATCTCCTCAACTGGACGCACAACGTGCGGAAGAGCCATGGCACCACGGTGACCTCTCCTGGGAGTCTGGGCTTCATGCTGAATAGCGAAGACACAATATAGTTCGGGTTAGTCTCAGCAAAAACTCCACACACACAAGAACGCAGAGATCTTCAAAAAGCAGTGCCAAACGTTCAAATATCCATCTTCTAATTAAACATAAGATCTTCTACTCAAATAGGAGATATAGTTTTTTTTTGCAGAGATGTATGATACGGATTCAGCTTCAGCATGTGAAGGGCGACCTATCAAGTGAAACGCTCCTGGCTCTTGCTTAGGTCCTGCTGCAGTGCAGGAGGGTATCATTCTTCCAGGATGGGGGTAGGCGTGGAAAGGAGAAGGAGAACATGCACAATACGCTATTCTCTGTACTTCTTTGCAGCCCATGGCATATTCATAATCCTAATTAGCTCTGTAAGACTCACAAGCAACCTGCAGTTGGAGAACTAAAACCTCAACATACCTCCAGGTACTCATCAGACATCTTTCTTCTTCTCACTAAGATGTACCGGTCATCATCATCCTCTTCTGGTAAAGGAGTAGGAGGACCTTCAATCAAGGACCTGGATCTTGTGTGAGGCCGAGAACTCCGGTCTGGGTTCCTCCTCAAAGGACTTCTGGGAAATGAACGTCTTGGAAGTCGCTTTGGTCCCTGGAAAAATTTAAGAGCCCCTTATAGAATAGGCAAAAACCAAAACAACATTCCCCATCCCCAATATGCATTCCTCTCCCAAAACAAATGCCTTCCTCCTTTCTCTCCCAAAGGATCCCTCCCACCTTCCCCTCTTCTCCCCCAACCTCAGTCAGAAAAAAAAGTAACAACATCCTAGGCAAATTCATCCTAAGCATTTAGCAAGCTCCAGAGGAAGAGACAGAAGTGGCACGTTTGTACCTTATTTCTGCATGGACACAGTAATTCCCTCACACAGCAGCGCAATTCAATCTATGAAGAGCTGTCACTTTTATTGTTTGTTGCTAGGCTTTCAGGTAAGTTAGCAGTGTAATGGATTTCACTTCTAATTCTCAGCCCTATTACTTAAAGGACCTAGTTGGGCCCAATATCAGTTTTTTTTTTTTCAAGACTCCAAATGGAAGGGATATTGAGGCTTCAACTTCAAAGCTTGGGCTGTCCCCCTTATCTCCAATGTTTGCATAAATACATATTTACACAGCATCTTTTGGGGTTTTATTGGCCTGTGGAGACACCTAAGCCTTTGTGAATTGTTTCTGTTCAGCTTTATACAGTGGCAAGTCGAAAGAGAATTGCACAATGAGGATGTCTGTTTTAGTAAGCAATAAATTTTGAACTGGACTTTGATTTACTTGGTTTATTAGGTTTTTTTATCCGGGTCCTGTTTTGTGATGTCTGAATTTCACTCTCAAATCTGAAGGCAAATGCAGTGAGTTTATACTTACATGACTGGCAGCTGACAATGATCTTCTCCCATCAAAGATACCAGAAACACTTTTTAACTCTTCCATTAGTTTTGCAAGCTAATAAAAGAAAGAAAAAGAAAGTAGAGTCTTGGGGGGGGGGGGGGGGTTTGGGTTTTTTGTGCTATTACAGACTATTAGATTAGGGCAACCACCTAGCATGAAATGCAGTAATTCTTCAACTTTTTACTTTTTTTTACTTTTATGTTTTATTTTTATGTTCTAGTGACTGCAAGTAATGTGCAAACGCTCAATCTTAAAAGGCTGCAAGCTGAAAGAAGGAATAGGGCTTCAACATAAGGATTTTTTTTTTTTCTAAAGGGCTTATCTCAGCCTATGGACTTTCACATGCCAGTGAACGTGAAGTATCAGATATTAGGAATGTGAGTGCCTCTTAATCAATTCACATAATTCCAATTACAGTTAATCTGAACAACCAAAAAGGACTGGCTAAGTCTCAAGGAAGGAAAAAGAAAAACGAAAGACACCGAGTACTTGCCATTGCTTTGTTTTCCTTTATGTTTAAAGCTCTTTTTTCTAAAAACACGGGCCCCTTTTCTTCAGAGTCAGAGTCTGAATCTGGAACAGGCATCAGCTTCTCAGGAAGAGAGTCCATCTCATCCTTTCTCCTTTTCGATCTTCGGGGTGGAAACTTCATAGCTACTTTTAGAGGAATAGAGCTTTTCTGTCTTCTCTGAGTCACCTCGCTTTCAGCATTTACATCGTTCTCCTCTGAATCCGATTCCAGTTTCTGTTAACAAACCAGAATGGGAGCATATAAAAACCAAATAACTTGCTGTGCAATTAAATACACTTTGACAATTTTGTGTGTCAGGGAGGCAGCTTAAAGAGGATATTTGGCTGAAATCTAAATTTCATTTTTGAAATTCAGGTCCTAGTGCTCTAATATATATAAATGTGTGTGTACAGATCTATATATATATTTGTGTGTGTGTGTGTGTGTGTACACACACATAAATAATATATATAACATTGTGCGTGTGCACACACATGCGTGTGTATATATGTATACGTGTGTATGTGTATATATATATACACACCCATACACACACACAGAGCAAAAAACTGTCAGGGAGAGCCACACTAAAACTGAAAACCCCAGAAGAGCTTGGTTTCAGTTGCAGCAGTCTTAGCTGCCACCTGCAAGCTTAGTAGTGAAGACTATTTGTGTGCGAGTCTGTGTATTTGACAGAGAATCACTTTTCAGGGCTTTTGCAACCTATCGTACTCAGCTGGGGGTGAGGAGGGGGAAGCCATTACATAGCTCTCAGCAGAGGGTCACACCAAAGCTTATAACCCATAAACAATACCCATCAAGGGTGAGATTGATAGCAAGGGGAAACTTCCTCCCAGCGCCAGTCAATGAAACAATTATGAATAAGAGCCCAATATTTCTTCATCTTTGAATTCTGATGCCCTGTTTTGCTGAGACTTTTATAAGTTTAAAAAAAAAAAAAGCAAAACAGTGAAGATTAACTCATTTCTTTAGTTACAATGGACTGTGGTCCGTTTTGAGACAGGCTTTTATTTCATTTTAGTTTTAGACTCTGTAAGACTCAAGTCTTATTCTGGGTCACAGGTAAGAACAGGCTTTGCGTTTCACATGCCTAGTTCTTCATTAGTTTCAAACGGCCATCCCTATTTGCACAGGGTTTTAGTAAAACAGGTATGTGGTTCCAGCTTGCCCACTTACATGTTGTTATTGATCCCTTTTTCCTACATACCTATTCCAGCTCTGCCTCCTGCTTGTCCTCTTTACTGCCGTGATTAACTAATTCAGGCACACATCCTCTTCCAATCAGATGCTATTCTCATCTAGTTATTCCTCAGCATGTTCTAAAGTTAGGACAGACACTCATCTTATGCAAAACATGGTAGTACTGCTCTCTGCTCTATTCAATACCAACTCTTGGTCTTATTGAGCAGTAAAACTGGTCGTGCACTGAAGTCAAGGAAAAGCAGAAAGAGGGATTCCACCCCTCACAGCTAAAAGCGTAAAACATTTCCTGTGCCATTTCCTGTTGCACTGTAGGAGTGCAGGGGTGACTGCTTGTCAACATACACAGAGATTTCTCTCAGGTTTGCTGGAGTCTGTGAGCTAGCATAACATTTGGCACTGCATAAACCAGGAATGCAGGAGTCTATTTAAAGAGCAGAATCCAATAAGGATAGCTTTAGGATGTATTCTATTTCAAAATCTGTATGGAAGTTTTTGTTTTGGTCTTGAAAAGTTCAGGGGTTTGGGGGCTTTTTAGAGACAAAAAAAACTATGGCTACCTGGACTGACTATATACGAAACAAAATAAAAAAGGTGTTTCTTTCTAACAACACTAGACTTAAGTTGAATCTGCTATTATTATTTTTCAGTTAAGAACCTGCAGGAATTTATATTTAAAAATCACAAATTAGATCAATCTTCTTACCAATGCATCTTGAATCTCACTTTCTGAAAAGCCACAGAAGGATTCATCATCAGAGGCTTCGTAAAAAATTTTCGCCAGTTCTTCTGTAATATCCGACCTAAACTTCGGTTTCTATGAAGAACAAAATATCTTTTATCTGAAGTTCTACAGAAAATGATTCACATTTAAAAACACATTATAAGCAAATAGCTTTTGTAATAAAGGAAAAAAAAAAAGTTCAGGGATTTACAAGTGGTTTCAGAACTGTGGCGGCAAATTATCGGGCGTGTTAGGTTAGGTGACATTTCAAAGGCTAGAATAAATAGCTAATCTGCTTCCAACAATTACTACCTAGAAGCACAAGCAAAGTGAAATTAAATTACAGTGCATAGCGTAGATTTGTAACTACTGTACAAAAATCTAAGCAGAGCAAGCAGTTTTAATCATGCACAAAGCATGCAGGGCATTACTAACACGGCACATTCAATTTTATTCTTGTACTGTACTTACAGTGTTTGCAAAATTATCAGAACCAAAACTGTCACAACTGTCATCAGAGGATGAGGATGTTTCCATGGGAATCAGTTTCATATTTCGGAATGCTGTGAAGTTTTTCCTTCCCATACAACCTTGTCTCTGCAAAAGGAAGATGGCAACACCATTGAAATAAGAGATCTACCACAGCACGCTATCGTTTTAAACAACCTTAACCTGAAGTTTAGGAGGTTTGAACGTTTTAGGATGTTTAATATGCTTCACTACAATTTAATTATATCAAGCCAGCAGAACTATCATCACCATTAGAAAGTTAGAAGTGGAAGCAAAGTGCCTAGTCCAATGCATTTCTGATCACTGCCATAGATGAGCGTTGCTCAGTATTTAGCAATGCTTCTTTTAGGCCAATAGCACAAGTGAAATATACACAGAAAGCACATCCTTCCCAACTCGTTACAGCGAACGCTGGAAAAAGTACACGCACACAAGTAGTATCTAGAAATCCCCTCGAGTTCATTAATTACTTTTACTTTGAAGTCGAGTACTAAATACATGACAGCAGTTGAGGGAGGGACTAAAAGCATATCCGCACAAAAGAAGAGCTTTGAAACAACAGCTTGTTATTCTGCTAATTTCTATTATGAGGTTGGAATAGGTTACTGAATGGGCTCTAGTGTTTCATTTCCCAGGGAACCTTCCTATTTGCAGTCTCCCATTTAAAACTCCAGAGTAGTGGCTAGAAGCACAAGTCTGCTCCCTCATTTACTAGCTACCCCAGCTGAGCGTTACTGTTGTTAACATCAGTTCACAGGCCCAGCTTATCAGGGCCAAATACTGCACAACCACGGCTTACATTTTAACTAGCTGGAGCAATTTAGAGGCCTCTGTGCTGCTCGGAGTACCCTGCAATAAGTTGCTGTATACCAGAATCCAAGTAATATAAAGAGCAGCGATGCCAGAGGAAGCAGAGGCACCGGGGCACATCTGAGGCCTGGCCCGCACTTCAAAGGTGGGCTGATGCGGATTAGGAGCGCGCAAACTTCCAGAGCGTAACTCTGCGACGCGACACAGCTGTGCCAGCCGGCGACCTGGCACGGAGGCCGCTCCAGATACAGAAGGGAGCATTTCTGGCACCGTTTACGGCAGCTGGGGGAGCGCCCGGCACAAGAAGCCTTGCCAGTACAGACTGGGCTACGCTGGATGGTCTCCAGCAAGAGGGGCGGCCAGCACAGCTATGCTGTTAAGCCCTTTTAAGTACAGATAGCCAAGACGTTTAGGATTCCCATCAACACATAAATACGCCTTTCATTTTCCGCACAAGAGGCCACAACCACTTTCCCTCGCGCCCGCCGGAGGGAACACAAACACGTCGGGCTCCTCGCACCAGCTCAGCGGCTGCCCCGCGTAACGGCCGCCC